CCTCCCTCCCGCAAAGCCCCTTGATTCCTTCCCCTGGGCTCCAGGACACACTCACACAGACACCCTTGTGTGGATGGGAAGCTGCCTTTCTCTGTATGAGTGGGGTATGTGCTTACTGCCCAGTCCGAGAGGTGGCAGTCAGACACAGGGAAGTCTGTCCTTGTGGTATGACTTAACGAGCCCTCGTAGGGGCAGGGATGGAGGGGTGTGCACATGAGTGTGCGCGCGCCTGCTGGGTGGAGGACGATGCCAAGTGTTGGGCCATTTCCAGTGCACCAGGAGATGCAGCTAGAAGCTGTCAATATGGCTTTTCTCTCAAGGGATAAGAGCACCCCTTCGGAAGTGGTTTTTCAGCACATATAAAGCCTGCTCCAAATTTCCCAGGGGCCGTGGCGAAGGGGGTTGGCAGCAGTTGCTACGCCTTGGCCCAGCTCTGTCATCAACCAGCCAATCTGGATGTTCCAGCTGGGCCTCCTGTCCTTTTCTCTCCAGGTTTCTGGAAGGCACAGCTACTCCTTAGTTCGTGAAACGTGCCTTCAAATAATTTCTTTCTTCCTTCATTCTTTCAACAGTGATGATGGAGCACTTGCCTGTGCTAGGTGCACTTGCCTGTGCATGCAGTAGTGAAGGGACCAGAAGTCCTAATGGGAGAGAGACACAGAGCAAGTGATGATAATGGAGCACTATGCCTGCCNAGCTCATCGATCTAAGTAAACTCATCAGACCAAGATAATCGATCTAAGTAAACTCATGACACCAAGCCATTCGATCTAATAAACACATAAGAGCAAGTTCATCAATCTAAGTAAACTCGTCAGAGCAAGCTAATCGATCTAATTAAAATCATCAGAACAAGCCCTTCGATCTAAGTAAACTCATCACACCAAGCTCATTAATCGAAGTACACTCATTAGATCAAGCACATTGATATAAGTAATCTCATCAAACCGAGCTCATTGATCTAAGTAAACTCATCAGACCAACCTCATCGATCTAAGTAAACTCATCAGACCGAGCTCATCGATCTAAGTTAACTCAACAGAGCAAGCCCATCAATCTCAGTAAACTCATCAGACCGAGCTCATCGATCTAACTTAACTAAAAAGAGGAAGCCCATCTATCTAAGTAAACTCATCAGACCAAGCTCATCGATCTATGTAAACTCATCAGAGCAAGCTAATCGATCTAATTAAAATCATCAGAACAAGCCCTTCGATCTAAGTAAACTCATCACACCAAGCTCATAGTAAACTCATCAGACCAACATCATCCATCTAAGTAAACTCATCAGACCAAGCTCATCAATCTAACTAAACTCATCCAACCAACGTCAACGATCTCAGTACACTCAACAGACCAAGCTCATCAATCAAAGTAAACACATCAGACAAAGCACATTGGTCTAAGTAAACTCATCACATCAAGCTCATCAATCTAAGTACACTCATCAGACCAAACACATCGATCAAAGTAAACACATCAGACTAAGTTCATTGATCTAAGTAAACTCATCAGAGCTAGCTAATCAATCTAAGTAAACTCATCAGACCAAGACCTTCGATCTAAGTACACACATCACACCAGCTCATCGATCTAAGTAAACTCATCAGACCAAGCTCATCGATCTAAGTAAACTCATCAGACCAAGCTCATCGATCTAAGTAAAGTCATCTGAGCAAGCATATCGATCTAATTA